TGCATACATGCTTTGTCACGAGCCTTTATTTTCTTCATCTCCACTTTAAATTTAAAATCTGTTTGCAGGGTTCAGTCTCAGATATTGACCACTGTTTGGGATTGACTTCTTGCCTCTGCAGTGAAAACCTGAACAGGACAAAATGGGTGGATGAACGAAACAAACACAAAACAACAGCAAACAAAAGGAAAACTTCTTTTAAGTTCATACAATTACTTTATTACTCATAGGACAAAAGCTAGAGCAAACAAATTTCTGGTCCATAAATTTTTACTAAATAATTTTTACTAAATAATTTTAATAAATAATTTATAAATTTCTGGTGTCCCAGTGGTCAATACAGAGGAAAATGGATTTTAATGAAACTTACAGAAAATATTACTTTCAATTGATAAACTTCTGGATTCATCCCAATTCAAGATGGCCGTCACTGCTAATCAAGCTTAGCAAACATAGAAGTGTTTAACTAAGACAAGGTTACAGGTTTGGTGTGTTTGAGTCATCTCTAACATATGAGCCCTAACAGATGACATTTTGACATGCAAGGCAGTGGGTTAAATCATTTCCTTTAAAAAATGCCAGTTCTATTAAATTTATTAACACAACTTCAATATTTGTGCAATTTTTGATTGTGGAATTAAAAAAGAAAACATTCAGAAAAAACAACACAGTGTATGGGAAAACATGTAGATGTCACAAAAAGGCCTCTTCTGTGTTCACCATATTATCAATTATAAAAATGGCCTGAAATAGTCTTAGTTTCTCCAAAGAACGAGTAAGGTGAAACCTGTTTGAGTTTCTTTTTTTAAAACATCTTTATTTTTCCATTTTATCAGCTTGACCCAAACCTTCCTTTACTTTGTATCTACTTTGTTACTTTGCTTGCTTCTCTCAACTTCACCATTCGTTGCTGCTGTCATGAACCTTTCTGCACCGTCCTCTGCAGGTGCTCAGTATGGGACATTCAGACAAACTGAAGCTATGTTGTTTGGACAGTGTTTCCCATTAAATGGCCCTTCCTTTATATTCACACATGGTGCATTTCGAGTCCCAGAGCAATTATACACATGACTACACTTGGAGCTAAAGGAACAGGCTGAATCTTTATCGCCAGCCAAAGAGCAGCGACACTGTGAGTTTTACTGAGTCGACTGCCTTCTGTGCTTGTGTTTCCATTCTCTGTCAAAGCAGAGGGAATATTATTTTACTCTAATCAAATGACCAGGATTCAGACAAGGAAACCCAACATGTACCTCAATTAGCATTTTGCGTTTCTTGCAAAATTTTCTCACTAAGAGCTGAGATAAGTCTTCTCTACGGCTCCCATTTGGTGGGTTCAGTAAAATCACTTWGAATGACAATGACAAGAAAGCAATGCAATTTCTAACAGCATCTTTGGATTAAAGTGCCTATATTCTARCACAAACTACTAATCTAATGCCCTGCTTGTTGTTAAATCAAAGTCTTTAGTTTTTTTATAAGGCCAAAGTTTTTTTTTTATCAAAATAAACTCTTAAGAGCCCCACGCCCCCGCTGGCGGGTGCAAAATTGTATTTTTTTCTTTCTTTATTAACCAACGTTCTCATAGGTAAACATAGACATGTGTGGTATCTATAGAAACGTCAGAATCTTGGCTAAAATCTCATAGAAACCATTTCTATATCCACCAGACACAGATAAAACAACACGCAGTTGAATCTACTGTATATGTAAACAAACTGCACAAAATGGCGCCTCTGCAAAACCCGGTCTCAGCTGTTCACCCCGTGACTTCTTCACACAAACAACATGTTTACTGAAAGCAGAGGCCTCACAGATTCTAAAAATATAAGTTTCATCACAATCCAACCAGAATTCACTCAACTAGCAGCAAAAAAAGAGAAGACCTAGCACTCTGATTTGAAAAGTATAAAACATAAGTTTTCTTACCTTC